GCTCCTCCCTGTGGCAGTGGTTGGAGCTGGAGGAGCTTTAAGGTCCCTTCAACCCAAACCATTCCATGGTTCCGTGGTTCTCCTTGCTGAGGGATGGGACTGGAAACAGCAGCTTTGTGGCTCAGAAGCAGCATTTGACCATGGTGGACAAGAGGAACACGGAGGTTCATGGGGATCCCCCTTCCCCACCTCAGCATCTCTCTCCTCCTGTCTCCTCACACATCACCGGGGGCTTCTCTTCCTCCCTAACCCGGTTCCTCCCTTGGCTTGGTGGGACCTGCCCGTGCTTTGGGATGAACCCTGAGCACTGGCTTCGGCAGGACTGGAGGCTTCACCCCAGTTCTGCAGCAACGCAGATGGATGAGAAGGGCAGAGGAGGTGTGTTGGGTTTGCAGCACCACAGAGGTGCTGAGCACAGCCTGGGGTGCTGAGCACAGCCTGGGGTGCTGAGCACGGCCTGGCAGCTTCCAGGCTCCACCAGAACCCCCCCAGAGGAGGAAACCGGGAGAACCTGATGTGGGAGCTGGGAAAGGTGGATTTGGGGGTTTCTCTCTTCAGGCACGTGCCTGTTGTGTGGTGTTGGCCACAAGTGGAGGTGGGAGAGGTGGGTGCTGCTGGGGATTGTGCCCTTTCTTTTGGCCTTCAGGCTTCTTCCTGCCTCTTCGTTGTGCCTGGAAGCTGGAATCAGTTGGTGTTGGTCGTGCTGATGACTTACCCTCCTCCTCCTCCTCTCTCTCCCTCCTCTCCCCCTGCAGTCTTGCAGCAGCCACTGTGGCAGAGTTGGCACAAGAACCCGTTGGTGTTGGTTGGTTCCTTGTCCCAGCTTCCCCCCAAAATCCCACCATGGAGTTTCCCCCATGCCTGAGGCCGTGGGGTGGGTCTGTGGCTGCTCCTCACTCCTCTCCACGGGTATTTCTCACCTCGTTGTAGTTTGCTCCATGAAGCATTTTTGCTCCGAGGAGCAGTGAGAGACAAGAAGCACCTTGTCCTGAGGGAAGCCACAAGCCAGGCTGGGTCCCGACTCCCATCCTCCCTCCTGGCTTCCCCAAGGATTAACGCTATGTCCTTGCCCTATTCATGTATCCCATCAGGATTTCAGTGACCTGAGCATGGAGCAGCCTCAGGAGAGCTTCGGTCTCCAAATAGTCTCTGCGAGTGGAGA